TTTAGGGGTTTAGGTGTTGGGGGTTTAGGGTTTAGGGGTGGTTAGAGTTTAGCGGTTTAGGGTTTAGGGGGTTTGGGGCTTAGGGGTGGTCTAGGGTTTAGGGGTTTAGAGTTCAGGGGTTTAGGGGTTAGGGGTTTGGGGTTTGGGGTTTTGGGGGTTTAGGGTTTAGGGGTGGTTTAGAGTTTAGGGGTTTAGGGGGCTTCCGGAGCGGTCTATTCTGATGCAGACTCCTGATCAAAAACCAACCGTGATTGTAATAGGGAACCCAATCCCTAAGGGCCGAAGTACTCAAATAGTAGTAGGGTTTCAGGTACCAAAAACCATTCAGAATATGGAATTTGGGACCTAAAACCCTACTATTTGGGTACTTGGACCCTCTGGGAATTATAGTAAGTCATAACCCAGAGGCTCCAAATGGACTACCATTATGGAATTGGGCCCCCAAAAGACAATCCTTATTATGGTTTTTAAGGGCCAAATCCCATCATAGCAGTGTATATGGAGCCTCTGGGTAATAAGCCCCTGTAACAAAGAGAAATTCACTCATCGGAGGCTCAAAACCCTAAACCCTAAACCCTAAACCCGAAATCCTAAACCCCTAACGATGCGACTATACGCTGGCTATGTTCCGAGTCTGTAGCTGCCGATGCAACATCTCATGTACTTAAAGGGCTTTGGAAGTTCTGCGCTGAAGGGGTTTAGAGTTTAGGTTTGGGGTTTAGGGTAACGATCATGAACATAGTTCTGTAGATGTGAGTTTTTAGTTTAGGGGTTTGGGAATGTCTGAACACTACCCTAAACCCTAAACCCTAAACCCTGAGTAGCATCCTTGCACCTGAGACCACAAACCCAAATCCCAAGACATGAACGCAGGCTTTGCGGAAGTCCCTTTGCTTTGGGTGCGGCTTCCTGCAAACCCTAAACCCTAAAACCCCTATATAAACCCTAAAACCTAACACCCTAAACCTTATACCCTAGAACCCTGAACCTTTTCTAAGCCCTATAAGGTTTGGGGTTTGGGGGTTTAGGGCTTATAAACCCACCCTGGCACACACAAGGCTTCAAAGGACTTCGCACTATGAAGAAGCCTGCTTTTAAGGAACCTTTACATGCTATTATATATATATATACATATATATATATATAGGTATACATAAATACCTACCTACCTACCTACCTACCTACCTACCTACCTACCTACCTACCTACATACATGGGTATGTTTATAATACATACATACTCCTAAGCCCTAAACCCTAAACCCCAAACCCCCTTGAACCCTAAATGTACATATCCACACACACACACTACATCTTAGGGGCTGAGTACCGTAGCCCAAAACAGGTTAACCTATTGAGTTATACTAGGATTATGTCAACCCCAAAAGGTTAAAGGTTATCTACGCAGCTACTAAGTACATGGGTAGTTGTCAAAATTAGGGTCCCTTTTGGGGTACCCTAAATAATAGGAGCCGCATTATAATAAGGACCCAAGAAGGGACCATAACTTTGACAACCACCCACATGTCTTCGCTGAGTTGTTGAAACCTCGCCATGATCTTCGACGAGTCGAACCCCATCTCGTTCGCGATGATCACCAACTCCTCTTTTTGAAACAGGCGACGTCGTTGTAGGGTTTAGGTCCCAGAAGCCATCATCAGCATGGTCTTTTTGGGACGTACTTCCATAATGATAGTCTATATGGAGCCTATGGGTGTGGTTATGTTTAGGGTTTAGGGGTTTATGGGTTTAGGGGTTCAGGAGTTTAGGGTTTAGGGTTGAAGGGTTTAGGGTTTAGGGTTTTGAAACAGGCGGCTTAGTTATAGTGCTTAGGGTTTGGGTAGTTCTCTAAATTAGGGTCCCTTTCTAGGTCCCCAATATCGTACGGCACCCGTATAAAGAGGAACCTAAAAGGGACCCTAAGTTAGACAACTACCCATTTAGGGTTTAGGGTTTAGGGTTTAGGCTTTGGGAAGGATCATGGGACTTAGTAACTGGGGTTATGAACAAGGTAACTATACTTACAATATTAGCTCATAACCCCAATTAAGGTACGTAAAACCCTACTTACTAAGTCCCATGATCCTCCAAGTAGGGTTTCGGCTTATGGTATTCAGAACCCGGGCTCAGAGTTGTGTTTAGGGTTTCCGTGCATTAAAGGTCCCCTTTCCCTAAGGGTCCATGTACACACATAGTATATACCTTGGCTTTAAAGTAGTCCCTATATAAATAAGCCTACATAGCTACTCTGGGGCCACAGTATATACGACCGTTGATGATAAAAACCCTGCATTACCAATGTTAAGGACCGTAAGCTATGGAATTATGGTCTATTCCTTATTATGGGTGACCTAAACCCTAAACCCTAAATCCTAAACCCTAAATCCTATACTCCTTAAGTTATGGGTAATGCAGGATTTATACCTATCTACCGTATTTAGGTACATGGAACCTACGGGTTGATCTAAAGGGGGTTCTACAAGGTTAAGGTTTTGGGTTTAGGGTTTAGGGTTTGGGGTTTAGGGTTTAGGGCGTACTATTCTGAAGGGTTCCTTTAGAGGTTCCTTCAAGGGCGTCTTCCAGGGTTTCTTCGGGCTCCTTTAAAGGCTTCTTTAGGGGTTCGACAAGCGTCTATGAGCGTTTAGGGTATTTGTGAGATCAGGGTTTGGCGCTCAAGTATTTAAAATTATAAGGGGCGTGGTTTAGGGTTGAGAGTGCAGGGAGGGTTTGGCAGCATATTGCAATATAGATTTGATGCGGAGCTCCAGAGACGATTAGGGTTTAGGGTTTAGGTTTAGGGTTTAGGGAATTATTGGTAATGCTAACCCTAAACCCGAAGCATGCATGTAAGTGAACACACACACACACACACATCGAGCTCTCGGAAACTGCTCAGGGTTCACGGGTGCTCTAGGAGTACACTCATCTCCAATGCCCGGGTTTATGGTTTATCAGGGCTTAGAGCTTCAGTTGCCAATTCGTTCAACTTGGACGAGGTTTCAGGGCAGGCTCTTTAACCTTGTGTCTAAACCCCTAAACCTTAAACCGTTCCTCCTTCAACTCCTCCGCCCGAATCACCTTCTGAGCCCGTCGCAACAGCTAAAACTTGCGCCGCAACAGCTCAAAAGACCTCTTAGCACTCGAAATTACCTTGTGTGACATGAGTGACAACCCTGGACCAAAGCAAAACTACACATTCGGAGTCAAAAAGCCTACTCTACACCCTGAAACTGCGCCCCAGTTTAGTGCGAAAGGACTTCCCTTAGCATCAAAACAGCCCAGAAAGCCTCATATAATAGGGTCTTTGGGCCCAAAAGCCTTCAAATATGAGTCCTTTCAGGGCAAGAGCTTACCAAGCATATCAGAGTCCTTGTAAATCTGCCTAAACCCTAAACCCTAAACCCTAAACCCTAAACCCCTAAACCCCTAAACCCCTAAACCCTAAACACTAAACCCTATAAGCCCTAAACCCTAAAGGCCCTAAGCAGTCCTTGTAAATCTGCAGCCGACTCTTCTCGAAGGTCTGGTCGTCGAAGAACTCCTCTTGGCGTCGACAGACCTCCACCTCGGAGAGCTCTGACCCCTACTTGGAGGATCGTTCTGAATACCATAAGCCGAAGGAATATAGGGTTTAGGGTTTAGGGTTTAGGGGTTTAGGGGTTTAGGGCTTTACTTGGAGGATCACGGGACTTAGTAAGTCGGGTTATAAGTATACCTTATTTGGGGGTAGAAATAATTATAAGTATAGTTGCCTGAATTTATAACCCTATAGTTACTAAGTCCCATGATCCTTAAAGTACGGTTGATGGTATAAACTCTGCCTTGCTTTAAAGATCCTAAACCACGGGAATTATGGTATATTCCTTGTTGCGGGTAATGCAGGATGTATATCATCAACCGTATCCTAAAGGCTCCATATAGGCTACCATCATGGAATTTGGTCCCTAAAACCATAATAAGAATGTTCTTTTGGGACATAATTCAATAATGGTAGTTGCCGTAGCACCGTCTTGTAAGCAATATAACCCTAAGGCTCCATATAGACTACCATTATGGTATTGGGCCCCAAAAGACCATCCCTGTTATGGTTTTGGGAAGCCCACTAAACCCATATTGGTAGTGTATACGGAGCGTCTAGGTACTCTGGGTTTCTAGGTCAGGGCTTCTGGGGTTTCGGGTTTTAGGGTCTGGGGCTGCCAGGGCTGCAGACTTATCAAAGTTGTCCTTCCAGGGTTTATTAGGGTTTAGGGTTTAGGGCTAACTTACGAGCACTAGCATCACTACTTCAATTTCCATGAGACCGAAACCCCGGAGAATACTGTAGCAAAGTTATAACAGGAACCCTACGAGGGAAACCGACATCCCGGAGAATACTGTAGCAAAATTATATAAATAAAGGAGCTCTAAGAGAGAACATTACAAAATATTCGGGCGACCTTGAAGACCCCTCTATGAAGTCTTAAAGGATCAAAACACCTTCCTGAAAAGATGTCGTCCCATGGCCTTCTTCCATGAAACTGGTATACGAACCTTGAACCCCCTAAACCCTAAACCCCCAAGCCGGTGTGAGGTTCATTTCGTCTCTAGAACATGACCTCGGGGGAGCCTTAGGGTAGTGGTTTGGGGTTTAGGGTTCAGGGTTCCTTAGGGTTGGGTGAAAGGAAGATACAGGTGGGGAGTTGAGGGCATATAGACCTCCTATAAGGCTCCTAGAACGGTATCTGCCCACCTGAACATGTCCCAGACCCAGGCCCAACCGAGGCACGGCGTCCCTAAACCCTAAACCCTAAAACCCAAAAACCGAGGCACGGCGTCACGGCGTCCCTAAACCCTAAACCCTACACCCTAAACCCCTAAACCCTAAACCCTAAACCCTAAACCCTAAAACCCTAAACCCTAAACCCTAAAACCCTAAATCCTAAACCCCTAAAACCCAAGAACCGAGGCGCGGCGTAGGCCCAGAAGGCTTCGGGACCCTGAATCTTGAGAACTGCCAAGGCG